AGATGATTGTGCTGGAAGGGGTGGAGATTTAAAGCACACTAAAGCAGCTCTTATGTTTTTTTTTTTTTTTTCAGGCGTGATGTCGCGCCGAAGGCGTGGAAGAGCCCACGAATTCGCGAGCGGAAGCGAAATTAGGCGTCACAAACGTGACAAGCCGGATTCTCCTCTACTCCAAAACGACAACCAACAATGCGCGTCCACTTCCTACGCCAGTGTGAACTCCATTGATGTGACTGATCACCATGTAACATTCTAACGAAGAATTTATCATTGCCGATTTAATCGAATGCAATTTTTGTACTTAGAAGGACTGAAATTAATCTACTAAATAAGTTATCAATAAAATCTGTTATCTTGAGCGGAAAGAGATTCACAAATCATCTCTCTTCTTCGAAATACAGAAAATTTAATATGAATTATTTCTACAAATTCTTCGAGACTGGTGAACATGTCCATCTACGTTCATATCTGGCATTATATTTTAGCGGTAAATAAATTTGTATAATTCTAGGTCTTCGTCATTTTTAATATATTTATTTCAAGAAAGGTTTTCTTTTTTTTTTTTTAACTTAATATTAGATTCTCTCACAGACTGTATTCGAAATTAAATTATATTTCGCAATCGCGAACGCTTAATCACACGCGCGATCGATTTTATGTAGAATATAATTGATCTAGAACGAAGAATTTTTGTTTTTCTTACTACTTATTAAGCAAATTTGTCGATAATAGTATAAAAAAACGTGACGGATATATAAAATGCATTTTCCTATTTTTAATGCATTTCGCAATTGTGACATGAATCCTTTTTCTGATATCGATATTCAGTTATCACTTATGTAGATATAATATAAAGAATTCGTTCACATGATATGAGTTTTTGACTATACCGATAATTTCACTGAATCGGTGCAAATCAATCTAAATCTGAACGATTTGTTTTACCGAATCCCGTATATGGTTTGTAGTGACAAAACCGAGTGTTCGACTCGGTAATATTCTCGCATACGATAATTGTATCGTGTAAACGCTCCTATATAAAAAATGTATTGCCACTGTAGACAAAAAACTGATCCGGCAGAACGACCGATTCAGCAAATAACCGTATTGTGTGAATAAGTAAGCTCTAAAGGTATTGACAGTTGAGAAATAAATCTAAATCTAAGAAGTTGGTATTTCTAAAAAATGGTTTATTTTAGCAATAATATCAAAAATACTGAACTCCAGGATTTATAGTTAGAATTATAATAAACTCTTTGTTAGCACACAGTGAGTGAATTCGCATCAGCATGTTTTATAGCTATACACATATAATTAGTTTTGAAACGAATTCTATAGTTTAAATTGAAATAAGAATGATTGGACATTAAAGATGGCTCGAAGTTTGTTTGATGGCGCCGAAATATTTATTAATTTTATTATACATTACTAAATAACCCTCTTATAACACAGTACTCTGAAAACACAGTTTCGATATATGGTGCAAAAATTGCCACAATCCTATAACACGATATTCTTGTAACACAATTTCCATATAGCTTAATAAACTTGGATAACTCTTATATTTGGCACAAAATATGTTTTCATCACACTGTTTTTATTGACATAAAGGAAATTTCCCTTATACGACATTACAAGAACACGATTTCGACACGGAACGAAATTAACCGTCGATTACAAGTATATAAAGACTCTTATTATCAAATAAAAATAAATCTAAGTAATGGGCATATAAGAATCAAAAATCAATAAAACTTGATTATAAAAACATATACATATAATAATACAGGTTCTCGATATCATTCCTCTAAAAATCTTGATGGTATAACATAAAATATCTCAGAATAATAAAATATCTCGATGACTTAATCAAACAATAATTACATGTTTCGGCTTCTTGATCGAGCCATCTTCAGATTTAATATAATTGCAGTCGTAATCCGCAGTAGACGAAACGATAATATCAAGTAAAGATAAGTTAAATTACAATCTCCGATAGGTTGTACGTTGACAGACAGAAATTGTTCCCAAACAGTTGATCGACTGAATGTTAAAATTTCAATGAATCTGAATAATATGAGAAAATTGAGAACAATCCAATCTATACAAATGTCAATCAAAATAAAACTCACATCGTACTGATTACATCGTCACAATCCAGAAGATGTTCCTAGAATATAATTGTTTTGATACATAAGAGATAGGACGAACGAGTCGAGTAGCGCGAGGATCTTTACTGAAGTCGTTAGGCGGTTTAAAGAATCGACAGAAGTAATTTGGAAATAATATTGTTTTGAGAAATGTCGATAACAGGATTTTTGTTAAGAATGGGGATTCCGCACAACGAAGACTCTGAGAAACGAGATTAATGAAAGGCAGGGTTGGCAAAAGATGTTTTCTTTTTTTTAAAGAACAATACATTACGTGTTTTTTAATTGTAATACTTATTTTTAATGCTTTTATACATGCTTTAAACTACTTGTATATTATAAAAAACATTTAAAACATGTTAAAAACATTAATTAAGTATGTTTTAAACAGTTTAAATTATGTTTAAAACATGATTTTTTATCAACCCTGACGGAGAGTCATTTGCGAGTATTCGTAAAGTTTGAACGCATAGTAAAGTTTATCTTTAATTATTGAATTGTCACTCTAAGGGACTAATACAATTCTAATATCACCTCTGACATTACATCGCTTAAGTGAAGTTTATTCCGCACAAGTTTTTCCTTTAAGAAAAAAAAAATAATAAATTACAGGTGTGAATTCGCACCTGTGTGCTACGAAAAATCGTGAAAGATGTGTGCAAATGAAGAATTAAATCAGTCAACTAAATATTTATAATTAAGTAAATTATTCTTATGCCGTCCACATTTAAAATAAAATATAAAAGTTAAGTGAAATTAAATAAACACATAAATCGATATTGATATTCTCAAAAACGAATGATATTCAAATGATATCTATATCAGGAATCAAGTTTTCAAGTCTTACAATTCATAAGTTTCATGGTGAAATCATTCATCAAAGTCCATTTAATTTGAATCTTATCGAATTATTCATCTTACATCAATACATCTAAAATTATTCTAATTAAACTTTTTATATGATTATCTTTAGCTCTAGTATGTAAGAATTTCGTTAATGAATGTTTGATAGTAAGAAATCACAGAATTTACTACATACTGATCATTGGTATGATTACGAGAGTGATTATTAGAGTGATTATTAGAGTGTATATTTCGGCATGAATGGTATGAATGTTATGAATCTTCACCATGTTACTTATGGATTGAATTTTCGTTGTGAAATGTATAATTATCAGTATTGTCGATTAGATTTGAGTACGTTTTGTCTACTTCTTAAGTAAATATTGTCTTGCTTTGCCAAGTTCCAAATTTATAACATTAAGATATTAAATTAAGGCCAGTTAATAATGAGAGTAATAGTTTTTGTTCCCTTGTCACTAGCTTACTATGGATCAATGGGGTACATTATGTCTATATTTAAATCTTTTTCACATTATTTTATTACATAGCAAATTATTTTTTGAAAAAAATCCTCAGTTCGCATATCTAATTTTTTGTCTATTTCATACGATTATTAAATTTTCAGACAATATAAATTATCTGACAAGGAGAGGCTCCTCTTTGTTGTTCTCATTATATATTATAAATACTTATTATATTTGCCGAGTCGGCATTCTACGGTCTGCACCGTAGTTTAACACTTTGACTAAGCCATGGTAAATCGTTGATGCCCGTATTCCTAATAATATTATATACTGATATACGCATACAGGGATCTATATTTAATTACTGAAGGTATCTAAGGCCCATTCGAAAGAATGGCTTTACAAATATTGATTTTATAGTCTTCTTTAATATCGCTGCAAGTTTGATCAATATTGATAAAGACTAAAGAGGAGCTTCTTGTGAGAAACGTATTAAAGACATGTATTAAATCTTTAAAATATTCTTTTAAATATCGTTTTATGTTTTTGATTTAGTTGATTAAACTTTATATTATTTATATATAATTATTCAAGAAATAACTTCTTTGCTGTTGCTTTTTATAAAACACTCCTCTAACGCTATAATGCAGAGAGCTAGGTAAGAATTTTTGTGATTAGAATTAATAGATATTGGGGAAAAAAACAGACTAGTAATCTGTGCACATGAAACTACACATGGAAAATTGTATCGTACTTTGCTATAACGAAAAATGTATGTTTTTTCATAAAAGAATAAAGCAATAAGATTTGAGAAGTAAAATCTATAAATGTATACACTTATTTGAATGACTGAAATAAATTAGACTTATTGTAAAAATTACGAAGTGATAAATTATCTCGGCAGAAGTGTCATTGCTTCAAATTAAACGGGGAAATGATCGTCGATAGGATTAAAATATTATCATAAAATGAGGATTAAATGCATGAAATTTCTTTTACCTTACACGAACAAGAGTAAATTACATAGAACAAATAATACTAAATATCAGAACACTTAGAATATCACGTAATACAGTTTATATATTAATTCATATTTAGAATATCTAAGTTCATTATTGCTGCATGTAATAAGAAATTAAAAGCACTATGGGTAAACTTACTTTATTTTTAATAATTAGATTATTTGTATACTATAGTTATATATACCATATAAGATCAAATATGAACAAGACTTTTATATAATTACAAATCAGCATTAATAGATGTGTTTACATTAAGTTAGAGGTGGGGGTATCTGTTTCACGCCTTACATAGTTATGACCTCGCGGCAGTTGCTTCTATTCAGTCATGCGGTTCAATCAAAGTATCGAGTGCTGTTGCGTACTATACCTTCGATAGTCTCTTCTCCGAACTGTACACGTAGTTTACGCAAAATTTCAATATTTTAACATTTTTGTTCGAAAAAAAACTTGAACAACATGCTGCACAATAGTACTTATTATTATTTATTTTAATATCGTAATAAGCCTCTATACTGTAAAAAATTATTGACTGACAATTCAGATAAAAGTGATTAAAGATTTTTTACAGTCACATTGTCTGAATTTGCGGATAGATTGTCTGAATTTTTAGCAAGTTATATAAATATTTCTTGATTTCGCCTAAATACTTAGTAGTTATTTTTGCCTTAATTTTTAGTTAATAGTTTAAATATATCTATTTTAAATAAATATTCAGATATTCAAATTTGAATTTCTATCTACTTGTTAAGTCTGTCTTTTTATTGCTGAATTACTGCACTAATTCAGACATTCTGAATTTACTTCTTTCTTTTGTAGATAAATAAAGATAAAATGCAACCAGTTCAGGAATAAGGAACAAACTTAATGACGAGTGAATAAAAATTCAAATGTCCGAATACTTAGATATTTAGAACAAAAACTATTGAATGAGTTATGGCTGTTTCAAAAATTTCTATAAAAATAATGTTCTCATGATAAGTATTTTACCTGATCATTGCTTCGCTCAAAATAATTAAAATTTCTACTTTTTTAATAAAATTTTATTAAATTGTTTACAATTAGTTTTTAGTAAGAGAATAATATTGAAGAGACCGATTAACGAAAGCAGAAAAATCGCAGAGAACATTCACGCATCGGATCATAAAACCATAGTCTATCTGAAATTTTAAATAGTTGTTGCTTTCAAACATGTCATTTTATTTTTTAGATACCAATTCTAAATATCTCGAACAGATGCGCCATTCTTAACTTTCAGAGAAACTTCTCTTATAATTAACTGAGTATCTAAAATTACTTTTCAGGCATTCTAATCTAAAAATTCAGATAAAAATGTGTTGTATTTTTAGGCAATTTAAAAAAATATATTCAATGTAAATACATCTACCAACATTGATTTGTATTTACACACAAAAAGTCTTTTTCATATTTAAATCATCCTCGTACATATAGAAACCGTGAAAGAATTGTGATTTTGTGTGATCCTTAGTAAGCAAAAATCTCAAAGGAACAAAATATGTATGTTGTTATTAATCCTAGGAATCAATTGGTTTAAAATATGCTTGTTGTATTATATTTGTAATTAAAACTAATTGAGAGAATCGTAAAATATGTATTTAAGTATGTTTTTCTTTGATAAACTTCATACTCTCACATTAAGTTGAAACAAATATATTCTATTATTCCAAAGAAATTTGATCACTAATTAGTCGTGAATTTATTATGATTTAGCCAAATATTTAGAATAGAGTAAGGTTTTCGTTGAATATGGAAAAGAATAGGAATATTACATTTAATTGCTAGGTTCTCAATACGGGGTAGATTTGCCAACTTTATTTACTAGTGCGCTTGTGGCTGTAAGTTCTCTATATCTAAAATACGACTCTTTCGCTCGATATGTAACAAATTTTGCAACAGTGTCTTGTTTGTGTATAATATACATAACAAGAATTAGCAGATAAATTACTAACAATATGTTCTTTAATGTGCTTCTCGATTGAAAGAATCTCACGGATTTGAACGTTTTATATCGAGTAACTTTTATATTACTTGTCAAGCAGTCTGTACCATTATGAAAGAAAGGATCGCTAGATACAAAGTTGTTAATATTTCTCGCGTTGTTATTGCGATATATGTACTTGCGTGCAGATAAATGTATAAGACATGAAAAAGAGAGGCTGCGTTAAATCATTAAATGTTACAAATCATATACATAAATATATGTCGTAAAATGTACAAATTTACTATA